AAAATAAAACAGGATTTTCAAGGGAGGAGATCGCTTCAATAAGTGCTGAATATACTGCATCTTCTTAGTTTGACTGGCCAAGATCTGCTTCAACTACTTGGAGCTTTGCTTCATTAACCCCTTGGCTTTGCTTTGCTGTAGAGAGACACAGAGAGAGACAGAGAATGTCAGATCGCTTCAATAAGTGCTGAATGTACTGCATCTTGTTACTTTGACTGGCCATGATCGGCTTCAACTAGTCGTATCTTTGCTTCATTAACCTCTTGCCTCTCTTCCTTCCCTTAAGCTTTGCTTGAATTTTTAATTTTGAACATCGCGATGAAGCACAGACAGAGGATGAAACAGGACCATGGGCGGCGGGCGCACTCCTGATGATGATGGTGCGGTTTGTCGTCGTTGTGGCAGCAGGGGTGAGCGCTGTCGAGGTGCAAGCGACGACAGGGATGAACGGGTGGCCAAACAACATTGCCGTGCGACCGTCGTGGATGGATCATCTTCCTGATCTTGTCGTGTTTTGGGCTGCCAAGACAATTCCTACTCGATTTGACCGTGAGGAGCCGTGACGGCTGGTGCGCTGATGGACGCGCTGGCCAGGCCCAGGAGCCGCGGAGCCTGTTCAGATTCGGCACAAAGCCCGCATGCAGGTGGGGAGTCGATCTGCGACCCGCTTTTGGAAATGCTATCCATGCCAAAATGGGAGGGCAAGTGTGATCTTTTGGGGGCGCGAACCGCCAGATGATTCTGACGGTAGTGCTGTGTGACAGGATGGTCCCAGGTGGATGAGGACGCCACAGTGAGCACCGGACGTGCGTCAAGGACCTGATGTGTGCCTTGCTTTGACGTGTCCCCTAAATTTGAGATCAGCTGCCCGGCTGCCATTTGGTGTTGGTAAAGGAGCCAAGGCGTTTTTTTTTTTTTTTTTTTTTTTTTTTTTTTTTTTGGTTTGGGTCGCTTTGAGGTGGGGCTGGCATGTGACAGGATGGTCGCCGTCCACCCGCGACGCCACAATGAGTACCGTAAGCGCATGAAAAATCCGAGGTGTGCCTTGTTCTTGATGTGCACCGAAATTTGAGACCAGGGGCCCCGGCTGACATTTGGTGTTGGTAAAGGAGCCCGCCGCTCGCTTTTGTCAAGTTTTTGGCTTCTTGTTGTGTCGCCGGCTGTGAATTCGACATGACAGCCAACTGCGCGAGCTTTGATGCGCTC